TCACCCCCTCAGCTCCCAGCCCCGGGCCTGGGGACAATGCTGTCCCTTCCAGGACATGAGTGCAGCAGCCCCGTGAGGGACAAGGGGGCGTCAGGATGGAACCGTGTCCTCAAAGGATGCTCTGAAGTGCCGACCCGGCACCTGTGAATGTGACCCTGTTTGGAAAGGGAGCTTTGGAGGTGTTATCAGCTAACATGAGGTCACACAGAAGCACGGTGGGTCCTGATTCCATATGACCGTGTCCTGATAAAAGAGGTGACCCAGAGAGCGGAGAGGGACCCCATGTGAAGATACATCTGTAAGCCAAGGAAGCTGGAAGGGAGGAACGGCACCAATGCCGCCTCGAGCCTCAGAGGGAACCCACACAGCCCACACCCTGGTCTCAAATCCACAGCCTCCAGGACTGGGGGATGATAAAGCCTCCCCTTACGGCAGCCACAAGATACCAAAATAGAGGCTGTCCATCTCAGATACAGCTATGGGTCTCTACTCATCTGGACCGAAAGAGAAAGAAGGAAACCAAAGACTCCAAGAAAAAACTAGTCTACGGGGCAAACCATCGACATGAACCATGGCCTCATCTACCCTGAGACCAGAAGAACTAGATGGTGCCCGGCGTCCACTACCAACCATTCCAATCAGGGCCACAGCAGATGGACCCCAATAGAACGGGAGTAAAACACGACACTGAACTGAAATTCCTAAACCAACAGAACAGACCCCTTGGACTTGTTGAAACTGCAGGACTCCCTGAGACTATCACCCCAAGATACTCTTCAAACCTTGAACTGAAACTAACCCATGACATCACCATGTAGCTAATTAACAGCTTGGCTCCCAAAATAACGAACATCACCTGTAAGTACTGTGCTCCTTGAAAAACTCACCTCTGTGAGACCAGTCAACAATGACTCTTCAATAAAAATGAGAAGATAAGGGGGGCAGGGAAACCAGATGAACGGAAATGGAACAACCAGGTGGAAATAACCACATTCACGCACTGTCAGGAATGCGACCGATGTCATTGAACAATTTGTGTGGGAAGTGTTGAGTGGGAACTGAAGCTACTGTGTAAACCCCCACAAAAACACAACATTATGAGCAACAGAAAATCGGGGCCACCAGCTTCACCACTGCAATTCCACACTCTGAGCTTTACCCTAATACATGTCCTCTCACTGAATCTCATCACCACCGCCTAAGAGACCCACAGTTATTGTCCCCATTTCACAGACGGGGACATAGAGACCCAGAGAGGTGGAAGCAGTTGCCAGGGTCACTCTACTCCAAGTGGGGACCGGAGAATGCAACCAAGGAAGCCTCACGCCAGCCGCCACGCTCTTCCCAGTGATGGGAGGCTTCATCTCAGATGTCTGGACACTGCTCCCACCTTGAGGAGCCAGCCTGGAGAGTGAGGGCCGGGGAAGCAGCATGGTCTGGCTGAGGCGCAGGGTCTGAACCTCCTCTCCTCCTGTGTGACCTCGGCCTGGGCGCTGTGCCTCTCTGAGCCTCCCAGCTGTGTGCTCGCGAAGTGACAAGGCTCTCCCTGCACACACATAGGCCACCCCCATCCCCACCCGCAGCCTGGAGCCCCGCCCCAGCCGCACCAGCTTCTCGTCCACCAGCGCCGTCCAGTTGACCTGCGGGTCCACCTCCTTCACCGCCAGGTTGTAGACCTGCTTGTGTTTCCCACGCAGGTTGGTCACGCGCTCCTTCAGCTGCCGGATGCTTGTGGGGACAGAAGCCACTTCAGTTAGAGGTCTTATTGGCAGGGCTTTCTGTTCAATCCGCTTCCTTGCTCCCCTCCTCCCACCCCACCCCCTACCCACTTCCATCCTTTCTCCCCCGATCAACGTTTCTTGAGGGTCTGCTGTGAGCCAGAACCACGCAAGGTTCCGGAAGACACCAGAAGTCTCCTGCCCTCTGGGGCTCACTGTGCCTGCAGGAGGAGCCAGAACCCATGACTCAAGAGAGCTTTCAGGGTGGTGTGTCCTGATGGGAGTTGTGGGGCCCTGAGAGACCTGATCCTGCCTGGGGGTGGCATGCAGAACCAGGGGGTCGTGAATGTGGGTTTGTCCCCATCTGAGCTGAGCCACGGACCACAAGTGTAGGCAGCTCGTTGCTGGAAGGTGGGTGTGACCTGAGGCGTGGGACAGCTGGAGATCAGAGATGGTGGGCGTGGCCAGGGCAGGGGGCATTCTGAGTCTTAGCCTCGTCAGCTGCAAAACACATTGTTACAGCGATAAGGGAAAGCATCTGCCCGTGCCTGCTGCCTAGTTAACCAGCTGCCATGGAGTCGACTCCGACTCTCGGCAACCCTGTGTGCGTCTGACAGGGACTGTGCGCCCCTAAGCTTTCAGTGACCGATTTCTCAGATCACCAGGTCTTTCTTCTGAGGTGCCTCTTGGTGGACTTGAACCCCTAATGGCCAAGGTATTAACCATTTACCAGGGACCTTGTCCAGTAGCTGGTTTAACCAAAACAACAAACCCCACTGCCATCCACTAGATGCCGACTCAGCACCCCTAGAGGACAGAGTGGAACTGCCCACAGGTTCTCCCAGGCTGTCAATCTTCAC